TATGAGAACAGATGGTTACTAAATTTACAGTGGTAATGATTTCATAAGGTATGCAAAGTCACATCACTGTAGTGCCCCTGAAGCTAACATAATATTGCACATCAACTGTACTTCAACTAAATAAAAGATACGTGAATGTTTAAAGAAAATATAATAACATGATACTGGGGCTATAACATATTTACAAGGAAATATATGATAAAAAGTATGAATTATGTGGGGTAAGTGGAATTATTCTGCTGTAATATTTGAATATTTTATTTGAAATGATGCAACATTAATTATATGTAGACTGTGCCAAATGAAAGTGCATACTGAAATTCCTAGAACAACCACTAAAAAATAAAATAAAATCATAGTAGACAAGAAAATTAAATACTAATAATACTAAATACTAATAATTTGATTAGCTCAAAAGAAGCTGCCTAGGAAAGAAGAGAGAAATAAAGATTGAGGAACCAATAGTAAAATGGACCAATTAGTAAAATTGTTTATGGTGGATAAGTATAATATATATTTATAGTTATAAATATGTTATGTATTTATATGAATATAATAGCATATACCATATAGTTATATATACATATATATAAATATAATGTGTGTTATACATAAGAGAATTTATGAAATATAAGACTTTGTCGGGCTTCCCTGGTGGTGCAAGTGGTTGAGAGTCCACCCGCCGACACAGGGGACACGGGTTCGTGCCCTGGTCTGGGAAGATCCCACATGCCGTGGAGCGGCTAGGCCCTTGAGCCATGGCCACTGAGCCTGCGCGTCCGGAGCCTGTGCTCCGCGGCGGGAGAGGCCACAACAGTGAGAGGCCCGCGTACCACAAAAAAAAAAAGACTTTGTCACTCAAAGAGAGGAATCAAGCTTCATCAAATGGACCCACTGAAGCTATGTTAAATGTAGGAACAAAGCAACCTGAAAACACTTCTCATTGGTGATCAGTAGTGAGAACCATAAAAGCATTGCATTCATAAACCAAGAACAGGCTGCTATAAAAGAGATGCATTTGGAAAACAAGATAGAGGGCAGGAAATTTAAACCACTATTGCTAATAATTTATGTATATGTACTGTGTGTGTACGTATGAAAAGCAGAACGGACAGTAATAAGCAGAGTCACACAAACACAACCAGGAAGCATTCTTCTAGAAAGAAGAGCATAAAGGTGAAATTGTACCTTTTCCAAAAACACTGAGGAACTCAGAACACGTGGGTTCTTGATAGTCTATTATGATCTACAGCAGAACAAGGCACCCCATGCTTTTTCTAATCACATCTAGGATGCATGGGGAGAGCCCAGACCGAAGGGAGGTCAGAACCCTTCCCCAGGAGCCCTGAGCTCCTAATAGGAGTATTAGGACCTGGAGGGGTGACAGCCATGAGCAATTCCCCTAGGAGGCAGCGGGATAGTGGAGTGGCAAAGGGGGCTGGGATCCCTGAACAGAGAGAGGAGTGTCCCTTCCGTCCACTCCCCTCTGTGCTCACTCACCAAACTCACCTCCCCACTGGGAGGCCCCGGCCTTCCAGCCAAAACACTCCCTCCCCTCCTGGCTTTCATTCTGTTTTTCTCCTGAATAAATTGAGAGTGGGGTGAATGCACATTCTCTTAAAGAAATTATTTAACTCTGCCTTTTTTCTTGACTGTGGAAAAGGCTTAGGGCAAAACAATGAAAAGGAAATGATTAACAACCTTAATTTGTGTTTCTGAAATTCTAACTCCAAATATTTGTCTACTTAAGAACTCCGGTAGAATCAACCGACCGAGCAGTGGAACCAGTAAGGGTACCGAAGGTGGCTTGGTAACAACTCTGTAGAAAAGCCAGCCGAGCTGCTCACCGGCAATGGTCAGGAGAAGAAGAGATGGCATTCAAAAGAGTGAAAACATAATAAAATACCCAGGAATAAGCCAATTAAGAAATGCACACACAGCGGGTTAAAAATATCCATACCCACATGACTTGGTCTATGTATACGGGAGGATGTAAAAATGAGAAAGAGATGCCGATATGCTCTGTGCTGTAAAAATGGAAATACGCTTAAATCTATCAGTAAACTTAAAACTCGCTATCAAAATCCTGTGGTAATTTTTAATGAACCTGGGCAAGGTGTCTATAAAATTCATATGGAAAAGAGAATATAAAAGAATAGTAAGAATTTTTAAAAATATCAGTATTAATGAGATACTTGCCCTACCAGATACGAAAGCAGCCTAGGCAGTCAGAGTAGTGAAATCTGTGTGGTGTTGACACAGGGCTAAGCAAACAGATGAGCCGGAGAGAACAGATAATCCAGGAAGAGATCCGTATGTGATACACGCAGGATGTGCAACAGTGGGGAAAAGATGGATCCTTCAATACATTGAATTTTGGCAAATCCACTCCATTTTGTGGTAAACAGAATAATAACCCCCAAAGTCCCCAACCTACCCCCTAGACTTACCATGGCAGAAGGAACTTCACAGACTTAAGTTCATGGACCTTGAAATGGGGAGCTGACCCCGGACCACCTGGGGGGCCCAAACCAATCCCGAGAGCCTTCGAAAGCTGAGCTGTCCTGGCTGGTGTCGAGAGTCGAGGATGAGGCAGTGCTGCTTTGAAGATGGAGGAAAGGTCCTGAGATGGAGGAACATGGGCACCTCCAGGGACTGAAAAGGTGAGAGCCTATCCTCCCCAAGCCTCCAGGAAGGAAAGGGCCCACTCACATCCTGGTCTTTGTCCATGAGCCTCATTGGACTTCTGGTCTACAGAGTTGGAACACAGTAATTCTGGTGATGTAAGCCACAAAGTCTTTGGTAACGTATCACAGCAGCAACAGTAAACTAATACAACTTTGAAAAAGTACGACTTCTACCATTCTACATATAAAAATAAATTTTGGATTGATAAATGAGCCAAATACAACAAAACATCTGGTTCGAGAGTTACAAACACACAGGTCAGTGAGATGTGTGTGGCGGGGCCAGGAGAGAATGGAAGCAGCTTCAGTAGAATGTGTGTATACCCTTGAGGTGCAGGAAAACCCTTTTAGCAGCACAGAAAGTCCAGAAGCAAGAAAAAGAAAAGATGGATAAATTTGACTTCAAAAAAATTAAAATGTGCTCATGGACAAAATAAAACAAAATTAACAAAAGCAGCCTGGCATATATAATTGGCAAAGTGATTTCTAGCACATGTAATTGGCAAAGGGATAGCTTCTTTATTGTAGAAAAAAAAGACACTACAATATTCAAGAAAAAGAATAGTAACTGGATGGGGAAATAATTATATAATATGAGACTAGGTAATTCCCAGCATAAGCAATTCATATGGCTAGTAAATGTATAGAAAAGGAGGAAATCGTAATGAAACTAATGATGATAATCCATCAGATTGACAAAACTTTCAAATATTGATAGCAGTTATTGATTGAACATTATGTAAAGATTTTTCTTTTTTCTATCATGGTGTGTAAATATTTGAAATATATGAAAATGAAATAAAATAAAGTAAAACATTTTTGTGTCCAGCTTACGCTATGGTTGAGTCAAAGGTAGACAGACACACAGGTAGACACACATCCTGGGCTACAAGCTCGCTAACCCTCCTCTGGGTGGGTCCTCGCCCTCCACTCCCCTGTGTCGTCCACGTGCAATTATTGGCAAAGAGCACTTTCAATGGTGGTTTTCCAGAAGTGCAGACAACCGTGATGGTCCGTCCGGGTGCTCAAGGATGGGAGCTCTTGGTTGTGCTTTGTGCCCCAGCTCTGGCTTTTCCTCTCTGTCCCCTGGGATGATGGGACTCCTCTCCCAACTATGGGCCCTCAGCCGGAAGCCACAGTGCTCTGTCCCCTCCTCACCAAGCCCAGCATCTCCTCGTAATTGCAGTGGACAAATGTTTCCCCTTCCCTCTGAGCATCAGTCTCTTCTGTAAGTGAGGCTTTATTACTTTTGGCCAAAGTCCTGCTGCAAGATTTCTCAAGTAGCAACAGGCTTGTGCAGTCTTCAGAGCTGGAGGAAATTTCAGAGCCAGGAAGTCCTGTATTGCAGAGGTGACATCGGCTCATGAAAGGAAACATTGAGGCCCAGGGCCCCACTTCCCCTCAGCAGGCAGTTCCTCATATCACGCTCACCTGCCTTACATGTGCAAGACGGAGTTTTGCTTCTGCAGCTCTTGTGATACAGTTGCCCCTGGAAAAGCAGAGGCTTCTGCTCTCAGGCAGATGTAGTTTCTTTTGGATCACGGAATACAGCAAGACTCTAGTTTTTACCTTAATTTCATTCCAAATGTGGTCGGGCTCAGAATTTTTTTCTCCAGGAATTGGCTTCCCAAACAGTGTTTCTTCCTGTATGTGGGCAACACTTCCTGATAAGTTCTGTCCTGCCTGCTTCCTGTCCAAACTGGGATGGCTAAAGAGCATCTGTGTTACTGTATTCTGTTGGCATCACTTCACCAACAAATCATTAAATACTGATTACTCAAAATAAAGGAGAGTTTTGAAGATCAAAAATAAACAGAAAAATGGCTAATTGAATAATCTAGGACAGTGATTTTTCAAGGTGTGGCTTTACATCCTATCTCAGAAGATTGGAAGCCTCGACTGACAAAACAGGGGAGCTGTGCATCCACATGGAAGGTCTAAGCCTCCCCTTAAGCTTGTTCCAAATCAGTGGCCTCAACCCCAAACAGAGAAGAGATTTGGAATCAGTACCTCATGGTGTGCGAAACCAAACAAACTCTGTAGTAATTTCAGGCAAATTATTCTTTAATAATAAGAATTATTATTCTTACTATACATCATGAAAAAATGCTTTGGTTCAAATGTTGAATAAAAAAGTAGTGGGGGGCTTCCCTGGTGGCGCAGTGGTTGAGAGTCCGCCTGCTGGTGCAGGGGACACGGGTTCGTGCCCCGGTCCGGGAAGACCCCCACATGCTGTGGAGCAGCTGGGCCCGTGAGCCACGGCCTCTGAGCCTGTGCATCCGGAGCCTGTGCTCCACAACGGGAGAGGCCAAAACAGTGAGAGGCCCGCGTACCGCAAAAAAAAAAAAAAAAAAAGTAGTGGGATAAAATACATATGCACACAATGCCCTTAGAAAACACTCGGCAAGGAGGTACAAGAGTGGAATGGATCAACATTTAATAACGGCGGTTTGGGCGTCTGGAGGCTCCATGGTAGACGTCGCTCGATCTTATAACAGACTTGTTCAACCATCGGCACGATTCTAAAGAACAAGGACAAGATCGTGGAACAGGTGAAGTCTGCTGTGTGGATGATGTAGGCAATAATATCGAAGAAACGTGGAAAAGTGATGGAGGAGATGGGGAAACTCCTCAGTGTGTGGATGCAGGATTAGCATCAGTGTCGAGTCCCGCTCAGCTCAATGGTGATTCAAGAGAAAGCTAAAAGCCCTTAAGACGACCTGAAGGAGAAACATGGTGAAGAATCAGAGGGCACGTCTTTTAATGCCAGCCATGGCTGATTTCATTGGTTCAAGGCTAGAGCCAACCTTCACAACCTAAAAGTAAGTGGCGAGTGCAGACCAGTAGCTGCCTGGGAATTTCCTGAAATGTTTCGAGAAATTATTGATGAAGGCATGTATTTACCCAAGCAGGTTTTTAATGTGGATGAGACAGGACTATACTGGAAGAGGATGTCAGACCGAAGTTACATCAGTAAGGAGGAAAAGCTGATGCCAGGCTATAAAGCAGCAAAGGACAGGCTAACTCTGTTGTTTGGTGGCAATGCTTCTGGCGATAGGAAGCTGAAGGCTCTCTTAGTTTATCATTCAGAGAACCCAAGAGCCCTTAAAAACATAGCCAAGGGCTCTCTTCCTGTTGTGTGGAAGAGTAACCCCAAAGCCTGAGTTACACGGGCCATTTTCCAGGACTGGTTTTTCCCCCACTTTATTCCAGAGAGAGAGAAATATCTCTTGGAGACGGACACCCCATTCAACATTCTTTTGCTGCTCAACAATGCTCCAGGCCACCTCCCATTCATGGACGACTTTCATCCCAACGTCAAATTAGTGCATCTGCCACTGAATATTACATCACTCATCCAACCTATGGACCAGGGAGTTACAGCGATTTTCAAGACATATTATTTACATCACACTTTTTGCCAGGCAGTAAAGGTGAGTAACCAATCAGGAACAACCTTGAGACAATTTTGGAAGGACTATAACATCTACAAGGCCATAAAAAACATTGACTTTGCTTGGTGTGAGGCTATGGCCATCACCATGAATGGGGTTTGGAAGAAACTTTACCCGCAGTTTGTTCATGATTTTCATGGATTTGAGAAGGTGGATGAGGAGTCCAAAGAGGTCTTCAGCAACGTAGTGACCCTCAGCGAGAAGCTGGAGCTAGATCTGCAAGAGGACGACTTCATTGAACTCCTTGCTATGTAACATGAGGAGCTTACTAATGAAGACCTGATGGAATTGGAGGCCCAGAGAAAGGACAAAGAGAGACAAGAGGAAGAAGAAGTAACTGAAAGACCAAAGAGATTCACGACGCAGGAAATGGCAAGGAGATTTTCTTTATCTGAGGAGGCACAGTTAGTTTTTGAGGCACAGGACCCAAACATAGAATGGTACATGAAGTTTCAACAGCCATTCAGAATTCAATCCAGTGCTACCATGTCATCTATGATGAGGTAAAAAGAGCTACTACCCAGACATCACGGGATCGTTTTTTCAAGAGGGTAGGTAGAATTGAATCCAGCCAGGAACCAGAACCTGTGCCATCAACGTCAGGCGAGAGTGAAACTGCGGCTTGCCCTCGTCTCCTATTGCTGACGATCCTTCAGCTCTACCATCTCCCACCTCCTCTCGCTCCTCCAGTCAGTAACTCTTCTTGCCTGTTCACTCGATGCCAGCCCCTGTGTGCCAGCTGTTGTACTGTATTACTGGACTTTTCTAGGTACTGTACTGTAAGACTAAAAATGTTTTCTTTATTTTTTGTGTTTGTTTTTTATGTATTATTTGTGTGAAAAGTATTATAAACCTATTACAGTACAGTACTATATAGCCAATTGTGTTAGTTGGGTACCTAGGCTAACTTTGTCGGACTTACGAACAAATTGGATTTACGAATGCAATCTCAGAATGGAACTCGTTCATATATAGGGGACTTAACTGTGTTGGAATTTTAAGTGAATTTTATTTTCTTATAATTTTCCATGTTTCTAGAGAAATTTTGAATGGATAGGCACAGTTTTTACATTAGAAATAGAAAATGTTTGTTGTAAGAACACAGACCGCTCCTCCCTTCCTCCTCCCCCTCCCCCGCAGGCTATGACTCTGCATAGGACCTCCTGACCTTGGTAGCCACCCCGTAAGGAGGAGACTGAGGACCCTTTAGCAGCCCTAGAAGCAGGTGCTGCCATGTTGGCAGAGACACAGGAAATGCAGGGATCTCACCTGATTTCACCAAGGAGTAGTTTTAAAAAACATTTTATATAATTGCCATAAGATGTGTGTGTGTGTGTGTGTGTGTGTGCGTGTGCATACATGCACTCAATCACAGGAAGAAAATCTAGGTTGTGAGAATAAGATACTAAATATATTTCTTTCTTTGGGGGCCAGTTATTTCCTCAGGGGTCTACCAGAAAGGTTACCTACATTTTCTTTTTCATCACCTGTCAAAGGATATGGCATCCAAGTTCCCGTTAACTACTGGAGGCTGAATAAATGCCCAGACATGTGGGGTTTTCAGATGAGAAATCCATGCCCTTGGCCCATGTCACTCTTGCGCCCATCCTGGGTCTCAACAACCATGACGAGGGGGCTTCCACTGACCCTGCACATGTGCACAGACCAGCACGTCCACGGGGCCACACAGCCCCACTTCCTCCATGCTGGATGCCTGTGTCCTCCCAGCCTGTGGGCCCCACCTCAGGGAAGGTGAGTCCCTTATCCTCCCAGGAAATGCAAACAATTCTGGCCTCATTACTTTTCTCAGAGGCTGGTTTTCATTCCAGAGCCTATCACCTCTCAGGTCTTTATTTCCCTACAGTGTGTTCAGGCCCAAGAATTTACGTATTGAAATATGCATGTGATCATCATAACTTAACACCTGTTACCTCTCCTTTATACTATGATTAGGGCATTAAAATGATTTGAAATTTGAATTATTTGAAACAATGTATGCATGTGAGTTATACCATCTATAATCTTCATTTCGGAAGGGAAGAGGGGGGTTAGTTATTTCTCCTAAAAGGGAGCTGAGGACCAGGGCTATTACCAGCTCTCTCTAACTGGCCTGATCAGTTCCCTTCACTGGGCAAAAATATGAGTCCTCAACTCAGCCACGTTCTCTGGGTCAGCTTTTACCCACAAAACACTGAGATGCTATCCACCTGCCCTTTGAGGGTATTTGTCAAAATGGTCCAGAAATCAGAAGACTGGGTCTTCCAACCAGCAGTGTGAATCAGGGTCTTCGGACAGGCTGCAAGCCCAGCAGGGAAGCCTTACCTGCGGAGAGGAGAAAGTCTGACTACCCCCTTCGCTTGTTTACTGTTGTGCCAGGTGGGGAGCAGAGACCCCATCTGGGCTCTTCACAGGCTTGCTGTCACCGAGGTTTTCCTTCTCTCAGTCACCAACTGTGACCGCCGACTGGCCGATCTTCCCCGGTAAAAGTACTGGAAATCATAGCCACATCCTAGGATGAAGAAATGGAGGCACAGAGAGGTTAAGCGACTTGTCCAGAGTCACACAGCTTGGATTTGAACCAAAGTCCCCTACTGCCTGTGGCTGAGGGTGCTTTCACAGGTTCCCTTTCCAGAATTCTGGCTTTCTCCCTGTGTTCGGGTGAAGTAAATCCTCTGCCTGGAAGGGAAGCAGCAGACAGGGCCCTCTCTCTGCCTTGCCCAGGGCACTTCCAGACCAGAGGTGCTGGGGCAGCCCCTCCCTCAGGAGCAGTTCTCCCCTCACTTGGGGCACTTCTGACCTTGCTGGATGTGTCATGTGGACCTGCTGTCCTGCTCTCTGTCAGCTCCTATTTGGGCTGAACACCCCTTCCCCAGAGCGCACACGTACGCATCCTGCCCATCTTGACAACCCTCACCTGTCTGGTCTCACTTCTCAGTGTCCCTTTCAAACTGTGGCAGCCAGGGCCATCCTGCTAAATGTATTCTTCTCAATTTGGGGCCAACTTCTGGCTTTTCAAGGCCATTTTGAATCCTGCAAGTTTGTACAGAAAAGCAGCCGTGCATTTCTGTCCTTCCACACCCAGAATGTGTGTTTGTGTCTAAATATACATTTGCGTCGGGCCAGGCGTCAGTGGAGACAGTGGACTCGGCAGAGTGAGGAGCGAACCTGCGGCACAAGGACTAAGACCCTCCTGCCACCCCGGCCGTCCCCCCTGCTGCTTGCACACTCGCGCTCACACTCACACATATCCACACCACTCGCGGCGCCGTCCACCCACTCACTGCCTCTCCTCGACGCCCCTGCTCCTCAACCCTCTCGGCCACCTCTGCTCTGCCTGCCGTTCCAGATCCTCTGCCAGCCCCACTCAGATTTATCTTGAAAAATGTCCAACACGTAACCCACTTTCCAAGGGCAGGTCTAGGAGGGAATAATTGCTGTTATATAGGGCGAGCCCCAGAGGCTCTCAGGAGATGCCCTGGTTTCCATAGAGCCCGTGCTCTGTTCACCCCCTGCCCCACCCCCACCCGGAACCCACAGTTAAGAACGTAGACAGAGACCCACTTCGGGAAGGGGCACCTACCTGGCTGGCATCGGTGCTCAGAGAGCAATGTCAGCAGACAGCACTCATTGGTGATGGGGCCTGAGTGCAGAGATTCTTGGCAAGTCTTGAAAAGTGAAGAATTGTTGGAATTGGGCAGAGTGTATGATGAAGTAGCCTTGGATTGGTGGGTGCAGCAAAGGGAGGGTCTCGAAGGAGTCCCAAAAGCAGAGTCTCTGCTGCGGCTCATCTTCCGGGACCAGGGCCCCAGGAGAAGGCAACCTGGCCGTCGTTTTGTCTGCTGGTTTGTGTGCTTGGTCCCAGCACCATGTAACACGGGGACAGGAAATCCTTTTGGTTTCAGTGCTCAGTATTCATCAGAAGGAAGGCAAGCTTGAATCTATGCAAAAGGAAGTCTGTCTGCTTCGGAAGGGGTAGATGACAATCCGTATGCTCACGATGAAAGAAGGGATCAGGCAGAAGAAGCGTCCTTGCCCCTCTGGGTTAGCTACTAATTTTTATTTTAATGTTAAACCGTTGCATGATTTATAATATAACTCAATCTATTAAGCACAGTTTAATGAATCAATCAGATATTTTTGCAACAAGTGAGACATATTAAGAATATGGGGCTTCCCTGGTGGCGCAGCGGTTGTGAGTCCGCCTGCCGATTCAGGGGACACGGGTTCGTGCCCTGGTCCAGGAGGATCCCACACGCCGTGGAGCGGCTGGGCCCGTGAGCCATGACCGCTGAGCCTGCGCGTCTGGAGCCTGTGCTCCGCAACGGGAGAGGCCACAACAGTGAGAGGCCCGCGTACCGCAAAAAAAAAAAAAAATAAAAAAAAAAGAATATGAATGTATTGGTGAATCAAATGACTTGTTCTAAATAATGCAACATGTTGGTGGTGCATCTAATTAGAAATTAAAATCAGGACACTGATTAGAGACAATCATAAAAGTATGTTGATTTTGTTAAATATGTAGAAGGTGGGGGGCTAGGAGAATCCACACTGACTGTTTAGAAAAGTGCTTCGCCAAGGGAGCAGAAGAAGCAGAGGTGAACCTGAGGCGGTGGTGAGCATCACCTCTGGGCATCACCTCTGGGCATCACCCGTGGGCATCGCCTGTGCCGCCACCAGAAATCTCAGCTGTGATGCCACAGCTCCGAGGCTGACTGGGAAGATTTTTAGTAAATGCTTTCTCCAAATCCAGCCACAACGACAGCTAAGTAACCTTCTCACTGAGTCTGGGCCCCAAATCAAGTCTTGATTCAGTCCCTTACTCTGCATATTTGTGATGTAATAAAATAGAATCTTCTTTCTGGGAAAAACTTTCATATCATGAAAATATTGACATTGATCACAAAGCTACCTGGGAATAAACTAAAACATAATGTCTGCAGGTATGCTTAGTTTTCAATTATTTTAGACCAAACGTTTAATAAAATAATTCTTGTGGGGAGACCATCGTCTGACCGCAGGGGTCTGAAAGCGCTGGCTGGGCCTGGGGCCACCCCTCCGGTGGGAGGAGCATCAGACAGCATCCCTGTCTTGGCCCCCAGTCCTCTTGCTTGGCTGTTCCTTCACAGCACGCCTTTCTTTGCTTTGCACATTCTTGGATCTGTCTCCCCACCCCCAGCCTCCTAGATTATGAGTCCTCGCCAGGCAAAGGCTGTGTTGGAACCATCTCTTTATCCTGTGCGGCATCTAAGGAGACGCCCTGAACCACTGTGTGCGTAAGGGAACCGCGTCCACCCTCTGCCCGTTGACCTGGAGGAGGGACAGTTCTGTGGATTCAGACCCACCTCCTCCAGTCACGGTTCCGTGGCCACTCAGGAGCTCCTGCTGGTCAAGGCTGAGGACTCAGCTAGCCGTTCAGGAGGATGGCCTGGCGGGGGATGAAGAAAGAGACAGGAAAATGTAGTAGAAAAGAGCAGTTGTCCCGGCCAATTGAAATTCAACAGATCCCCTGGGTATTCATTTTCTAAATGGCTTCTAATTTCCCTAAGTGTCTTGTCCTTTTCTCTCTTATATTCAGGCATCCAGTGAGCAGGCACTGGTCATAAATTTCTGACATTCTCTCCCTGACTCCAGGAATGACAGTCTTCTCATTCGTGCAGAGCAGAGTCCTCCCTCCCCCACCCTTCGCAGGCCAGTGCCTGGTGCCTGCGCTCAGCCCACAGCCCCTGAGTTGGGGGCCTGGAAGGGGCCCTGCATCTCCCGCTCCCGGTGACCCTTTGCAAAACGTCAGACGGTGTCCCCTGATGGGTGGGTCTCTCCACCTGCTCCTAGCCCCAGGCAGCGGGAGGGCGCTCCTCCCAGTCACGGGTGCCCTCAGGGCTATGACCTAGGCAGGACAGGTATGAAGGACAGAGGGTTAAAGTGTGTTGGATGCCACTGGGAGGTCCCATGCCAAACATGTTACACGATATGGCATTTAATCCTCCCAACACAGTGAAGAGACCCTGTCACCAACCCCATTTTACAGATTAGACCTGAGGCCTGGAGAGATTAAGTGCTTGCCCAGGGTTTGTCTTTCTTTCTCTTTCACAGACACACGTGTGCACACAGACATGCAGAAACACACACACACACACAGGCACACACAGGCACGTGCACATATACCCCCTCATAGCAGCCCCCTTTCATGATCTTGGTTGCAGAGTCTCGGAAAGTTAAAACTGGTAGAAACTCTAGTTCAAGTGAGAAATCAAGCCCAGGAGCTGGTGGACAGCGCACTGGAGGTCACTCAGGGAAGGTTTGCCAGAGAAACTATCGGGAACGTGAGCAAATCCTGAAACCCAGCGTCTCGGGCAGGGTCTCCCTGAATCGGCCCCGAGATGGGGACCCACAGGCAAGTGGCTGATCACAGAACAAGTCCTAGTTGGGGGTCAGGAAGGAAGCCGGACAAGGGACGGGGAGGGAGGCAGGATCTCAGGGGGTCCTACAGAGGGGAGCCTCAGCCGGACCCCCAAGGCTCTGGAGGGCGGGCGACACCTCTGACTTTGTCCGGCATGGAAGCAGGGGAGCTGGACTTTCAGGCCTTGTTCTGTCCTCACCGGCCTCCAGGCAGGACACCACCCTCAGGCACGTCCAGCTCTCTGAGTTTGCAGGGCAAGCAGCCCCTGTGGCCTGAGTCCGCTGAAGAAAGTACAGTCGCTGGCTTTAGAAACTTGTCACGGCTGTCTCAGTGGAGGGCCCTCAGTGCATCACTTAGCCCCTCCCCTCCGTGGGAACAGTGGCAGTGGCGCCAGGCCCTGCCGTGTGCGGTCAGCAGCACAGACACTGTCAGAGCCAAGAGCAAGCAACGGAGGATCCACCAGGATGACTTTAAATGAGAAGCACAGGGCTTCCCTGGTGGCGCAGTGGTTGAGCGTCCGCCTGCCGGTGCAGGGGACGCGGGTTCGTGCCCCGGTCCGGGAAGATCCCACATGCCGCGGAGCGGCTGGGCCCGTGAGCCATGGCCGCTGAGCCTGCGCGTCCGGAGCCTGTGCTCCGCAACGGGAGAGGCCACAACAGTGAGAGGCCCGCGTACCGAAAAGTAAAAAATAAAAAATAAAAAAATAAATGAGAAGCACAGACCTGTGCCCAGGGAAGGTGGCACTCGCTGCTGCTCAGAGGAATTTCAACACTCGTTCGCTTGAGCAGAATTCACGTTGAGTCAACACAGTGGCATTAGGGGACACCTGAAGCCTCCTGGGTATCAGCTCCACTGTTTCTATTTCTTCCAGTCATTCACGCGGCACCTTGCATCACATCAGGGCTGTGTGGGACTCGGGCCCATCCGTCTTCCAATGCCCCGGGGTGTGAGGCACAACCTGGGGACAAGCAGCCCCACTTTACAGACACAAAAACCGAGAGAGGATGGAGTCACTGCTTCCTGAATCTGGAGCATGAGCAGGTTTTGTGCCTGCCCTCACCTCCCATCTCACATTTCCGCTCTATGAGCAAAGCCTTCAAGGCACTTCATTCCTCTCCCTGCTCTGATTTTTTCCCCTCAGACGGAGTCCTCCAAGGTCAGCGAGCCCAGGTGCAGGCCGTGGTCTGGAGAAAACCCAGACTCGGGAGACCCGGATGCAAGCATCAATTCTGCCACTTGGCAAATGTGACCTTGGGGTCCTCAAGGCCATGGGGAGCTCCAAGGGCTGCCCATCCCCACTTCTAGGAATAAGGCCGTGCTCCCAGCTGAGAGGGCTTTGCGGACAGGTCGGTCGGGGTCTGGCCCCAGACCTGCAGGTGGGAAAGGCTGAGGTCTGAAACCAGAACATGGCTCAAGGCCAAAGACCAAGGCAAAGGGAGGTAAGTAGTGGATGAGTTGCCAGGAAGGTGAAAAGCCAAATGCATCGGGGCAAAACTGGGCCTGGGGGTGCAGTTCAGAGCCAGGCCCCCTCATCTTCCCTCACACACGACAGCCCAGGAACCGCGTCTCTGCACACGGGTTGTGATGCCTGTGAAGGAGCCAGCCTGAGTGCGCAGCCCCGGAGTCCAGAGACCTGCCCAGTAGCCAGTGCAGCCCAGCGCCTTCTCCCGCCGTGGACAGTAGACTCGCTCCTCCACGTGCCCAGTGCTGGGGTTCACCTGCGCCCCACAACAACGCAGAGCCCAGGGAGGGGAGAGAAGGAGCTGTAGCCTGGCCGGCACTGCTCCCACCACCAGGCCGAAGGGAGGATGGGCCCCCAAGGTGCTGTCCCGGGAGTGGGGATGTTGGAGATGGGCCTGCCTGTGGGCAGACGCAGCGCAGCCCGCGTGGGCCGGGCCAGGGGCAGGTGGAGACGCACGCCTGATCCAGAGCACAGGAAAAGCCACGGGAACTTGAGATGCTGCCCTGAACCAGTTGGTCATGGCACCTGGTCCAGAGAGGACTCTTTCCTCGTGCTGTCAGCCCCAAAGTGGGTTATTGCTGTGGCCACACTTGGCCCCTGCTGTAAGAGGAGATCATCCTGTCCCCTGGTGTCCTGACATCCAGCAAACCATATCTAAGGCACCCCGGGCAGGACCAGCCGCTGATGTGCATGACAGTGGCCCAGGGAGCACAGCCGGGCACAGAGGGCAGGTTCCGGCACTTGCCCGAGGGAATTCCTTTATTCAAAGGCATCCTTTTCTTGAAATGTGAGTGATAAACTGGGAATCATAAAAATGAAATTGCTTAATTTCGTGGGGTTTTCCCTCCAGTTCCACATCCTGCAAAATTACAGAAGTGGTTATTTTTGCCATAGAATTCTCTCCTTTTTTGCAGAAAAAAAGTGCATGCCGCAAAAAGTATATTTTCTTGAGCCAAAAATGAGTTTGTAGGCTTTTGGGGAAATGCCAGAAATGATGCTAATAGTTAATGGCGGTGTTTGAATGCACCAGCAGTGTTTTCATGGACCCCAACCTCTCAGTTTCTCATTATGTTAGAGCCACACCGGTACACACAGTTCTTTTGTTCAGCAAGAAAAACACGGTCTTCTTGCGTTTGAGTGAAGGAGGTGCACTGTCCACGTTGGCGCATGGATCAAAGTGGATTTATGAATCCATATTTTGAGGCTGGTGTTTCTGAACACATGGTGCAAATTCTGGCTTCACAGTCCATCCTGAAAGCAAGGTTTTATAAAGCTAAGCTTTTCCTAATTATTTTTCTCTCCAACAGTCCTGGAAATAAACATATTTTCCTGCTTCCAGCTAAAATACAATTTCTTAAA